ATCTTTAGCCGTACAAATGGCACATGCATGGTGCCAGATTCATGAGTGCTGGTGGTGGCCTTAAAGAAGAAAACTTTGGAGTGGCTTCTACCAGCTGTGTGGGACACTAGACACCTAGCTCACGGGCTCTGTTTTTCCAACTTGCATGAGCTTGCATCAAATTTGAGATGCAATCATGGTTACTGGACCCGAGCCCAAGTGGCTGGTTCAATTCGGAAACATGTTCGTTCTTTAAAAAGAACCAGACAAAAAGTAATGAAAAATCTGTCCGAAACTGTTAGACGAGCAGCTTCAACACCCAAATCGGGTTTGCGAGTTGATGTAGAATATAACTGATTCAAAAGCTAAACTGGTATAGATTTAAGAGAGAATAGAAGAAGAAATTGATTCGGTTTGATTTGATAAAAGCCCAGTTTAATATGTTACTGGTTGATCTAGATAAAACTTGATTAATATTTATTAATTTATTTAAAAAAATTAAATAAAAACATCATTAATTTAATTTTTTAAAAAAATTAAAATTTATTATTTTAATATATAACTAGAGTGTTATTTCAAGTTAAATTTTTATAAATGTAGTTAGATGTTGGTACTTAATGAACTTTTAGATGGTTGCTTGAAGGACCCAACGGCTAAATAACTTTTTACTGTTTTTATATAAAAAAAACCTTAGAAAGATTCTTTTTTATTTAAAAAAACAACATTATAAATTATTTCTTATGATTTAACATTAAAACATGCCTTTTGAAATATAAAACTTGACTGGCATTCAAGAAATCATCCTATTTAGAGTGTGTGTTTGTTTTAGAGGTAAGAGTTGTGGTTTGAGGTGGGACCCATTAAAAAAGCTATAAAAAGCAAAAAATATTATTTTTTGTGGTTGAGTTTTGTGCATAAATGAGTTATACTCAACCATAATCTCAACCACAAAAGCTAAAACAAACACTCTTTTAAAAACAAATCTTATTAATAGCAAAAGATTGTTTCTATTTGTTACAAATCCTATCAAAGAGAAAATAAGACAAATATTAAAGTATATAGCATCCTTGTAAAAATATAAATAAACACATTTCAATATAAATACAAGAAAAAAAAGCTATACTCTGAAACCTTAGAGCATTTCCAATGGAGAAGTCAAATGGATAGCTAAAAATAAAAAATTAATATTTTGATTTTTCTTTTTTTGTTTTGTACACTCCAGGAGGAAAGCCAAACAAAATGCTAAAATGTCTTTTATTTTCCATAAATGCTATTTTTACATATCTCTTGAAAAAGCCAAAACCAACAAAGTGGGACCACTAAAAAAAAGACCAATTAAATGCAGACATGTGGAAAAAAATAACATTAAACATATTAAAAAATAATAAAATATTTGTTTTTTTTACTTTAATATAAATGGCTCTTCAAATGGCTTTTTTCCATTAGATTAGATATGGTAAAATAAGCTATATTTATACTATTTAAAATGCTATTTTATTAATTTAGCTTTTCAAAATAGCATTTTACATTGGAGATGCTCTTAAAACCCATGCACCGAGTGCTAGCTAAAAAAAAAAAAAGAATACAATGAACAATGAAAAGAAAGTGAAAAACTTGATCCTCACTTACCTTTCAATATATATAAATAGAAACAAATAGAACTGTGCATGAGAAGAAAAGGAGATCAAAGGGTTGTTTGTGTGTATGCGCGCGCACAAAGATGAGAAAAAAATGTGTGTGTATAAGGGTAAGAAAAAAATCAAAAAACCAATTAAATTTAAAAAACAAAAAAAAAATAACAAAAAAAATTGAACAAAAAAAACTGAGAAAATCAATTAAAATTTTTTTAAAAATTTTTAGTTTGGTCTAGTTTTAGAACCTTGAAACTGGCAAAACCTCAACTGAACCGAACCAGTTCGGTTTAAGGGACACTTAAATGACACGGTCTTCATCTTCATCTACAGCCAGCCACATCCCTCTCGCGCACAATCTTTATCTTCAAATTAGCCAGTCAGTCACATTCCTCTCTCACATGGTTACATCCGACTTTGAAGTTTGAATCGTAGGACACACACCACACTGGCACACCAAGCAAGTTTTTCACAAGACTTACATTATCTTAATTTTCAAACTAGTCATTTAGCCACATTCCTTTCTCATACGGTCACACCCGATCTTAAATCGTGTCACAACTCAATACTAGGTATAAATTTTTTTTTGCCAATCTCTATTTTGTTTATATATATATATACATGCTCTGTGATTATGTGTATTTGTTTGAGCTGCGATTAATTTACCAACAATGTTTTGGTTACCCAACATTGTGAAGATCAATTGCATCCTGTGATTAATATTTTTTTTGTATTCTATGGATTCTGGGAATATGGATAAAGTTAACTGTAGGGATGATTAATTTATCAATTTATTTTAATTATAATGTCAAGGTTATTTCTGGATAAGGTTCTGTTAATGAATAACGAGTTTTTTCTATTAAATTTTGTAAGGTTCCTTATTTGTGATATGTATTCTTTTATGGGTTAATTAAGCTGGTAATGAAGATATCTTAAAGAGATCTAGAGTTCTGTATTAAAGTGAGAAAAAGAGAAGAAATCACAAGCAAAGAAGTTGTCTTCAAGTTTTTTAGATATTAACAATAATCCTTGCCATGTATTTCTGGTTCAGTTTTTAAAAATCCATGTTTAAAATTGGATTTGTTTAAATAAACAGTATGAATGAATTTTTAAAGAATTAATTTCAAACCTATACATTTATTTTTATTAAATTTTAAATTTATAAACTTATAAATTTTTAATTTTTGCTAAAAAACAAAATTATCTAACTTTCGTAGAGCACTAATTAAATAACTAATTACTTCTAAAATAATATAAAATTTATTATCAATTACAAACTAAACCGTACTTCAAAATATTTCGACTGTATAATTCAAAGATATATATATATATATATCCAAATACTAATGAAAATGAAACTATTTTAGTCCAAACTATATTTTCAAAGCATTAGATAATGAATTTTATCATTTTGATCTTAAAGAAATTTTCATGCAAGCCTTTTCGTTCATGTTCCGAAGATTTTCATATATTTTTTAAAATTGACACTGATTTAGTCCATAAATGTGCATCCTATACCCTTTCACTCTTTTTTAATAATTCTTTTCTTAAAATCATCATCATTTTAGTATATAAAATATACAAATTAAACTTAAACTATTAAAAAACAAATCTATAAAAGGATGCAATTGAGAAATGGAGGAAATATTCAGAGCTTAATTGATAAAATTTACAAGTTTGAGATATCATTGAAAATAAATACATTAGTTTGGGATTAAAAACACTTTTGGAGTTGTGATACAATTTGTTTTTAATTAAAATTTGATTTTAAATTTTTTTAATATTTTTGAATTATTTTTATTTTAATTAAAATTTTTATTTTTATTTTTTCAATATTTTTGAATTATTTTTATGTGTTGATATAAAAAATAAAATTTAAAAATATTATTTTAATATCTTTTAAAACAAAAAATACATTGAAAAACAATTTCTAATTTACTCTTAAACACCTTCTAAATTGAGATTTTCTCTTTTAAATTTATAATCCGAATTGACACTGAAATCAATCAACCTAGCAAATTAAAGTTACAATTAAGGTTATTAAAATCACATTTTGACTCGTAAAATTATATAATTTTACGAGTCAAAACATGCTTTGTGTGTTAAATTATTTGAAAAATAAAAAATAAATAAAATCAAGTTAAAATCAAATAAAATCATTAAGATCGAGTGAAATCATGTAAAATCACAAGTTTAGTACTGATTGAACGATTTCACCAATACACAAAAACTGAAGTAAATATTTCTCCTATGCTCTAACAGTCTAGTGGCTATTGGCTAGGTAAATACATAGTCACTTTAATTCTTCACTCCAATCATCACGCCAGATCGCATTTTGAGTGTTTCTTCCTTTCCACTAAATACAAATCTCTACTCTCCTTCTCTATTAACCAATCGGCTACCATAAAAACGACGACGATCAGTCCATTCTTTGCTCCAGTGACCCCATCATCGGTCCAGTCTTCGCTCCATTGATCAGTACAATCTTCACTCTAGTCATCAGTGCTCACGATCACGACTTCTTTTTCATCAACAACGCGCAACGATCTCCTTTCTTTCCCATCATCAACAACTCATGGCTTCCTCTTCAATCTTCATCAACAACGGCAAGACGACAACGATCTCCTTTCTTTCCCATCATCAATAGCTCATAACTTCCTTTTCATTAACAACAACAGATGACATCGATATACCATAAATTGTTCTCCTATACCTCCAATTTTCATGTGATTGCCCGTGATGTAATATTTCCATGTGTAGACTTTCAAAATATTAAACTGTAATAGTGTAATATATCCCCTGTATAGATGTGGATGAATTGAATTAATGGAATAATTTTATAATGTTTTGCTTAGTATGGTGAATTGAATTGATGAAATGATTTTAATGTAAAATTGATGTTTTTACTTAGCATCCTAATTAAGGTCCTTTCATGCATTGAGTTTGTTTAATATGATGAACTGATGAAATGTGTTTGTCTTATTAAATGTGTCTGTGGAATGTGAAAATTAAAATATGTCTCTATCTTATTGAAATTAGAATGTATATCTACCTGATTTTATAAAAAAATTAGTTGTATAATATATATGTATAGTCTATTTACTAAAATAAATTGAAAATATTATAATTTTGTGAAATTTTATATATAACAAAAAGTTTATTAATTATTAATTAATAAAAAGTTATTTAAATTATATATAAATTTTTATTTGAATCATGTATTTTAAGGTGCTGTGAATTTTTATTTAAAATATGAATTTTTTAATATATTTTAATTTTTTTTTATAATTTTATAATCTGTTTTCAGAATCCAAGTTTATTTTATATTTGTTTTTGTCGTATTAAAATCGTAATTTTAACAAGCTTGGTACAGCCTTAATTAGCCTTATATCCAACACCTTCCAGTAATCCTGCTGCACCCAATAATACCCTGCAATTAGGGTTTTAGGGTATAAATATAATATAAAAAGCAACGCTTGAAACAGAACATCCAGCATAAAACCCACGAACAAATTACTTTCACTCATTCTTATTAATCGATCAACTTCCATTCTCATATGATTTTCCCCTGAATTCAAAATTTGTTCTTTTATCTTATTTATTCTGTTGTGTGTTGATAAGAAAAGGAAAAAAAATTTGAGCTTTGAAGAGGAATAATGATAGCAGCAGTTTCGTGGGTACCCAAAGGGGTTGCAAAGTCTGTACCAAGTGTAGCAGACCCACCTTCAAAAGAGGAAATTGAAGAGCTGATCAAAGCTAGTGATTTAGAGAGAAGGTAAGCTACTATTTTCTCCCTTTTTCTTTCAAAAAAGTTTACTTCTTTTTGTGTTTCAATGGCTGTTAGTTGTTGAACGTACGGTTTTTTTGCTATACGGTTTGTTGGCTGATTCACTTTTTGTGTATTTTCAATGCTGTTAATAATTGAATGGGAGGACTAGGCTTAATGGAGCATTGTAATGTTGATTATCTGAGTGCTACAATAGCTGAGTTTTAAACCAGGAGGTTAATTTGGAGGTGTTGATTTTATAGCCTAGTGTCATTGGGTTTGAGTTTTTGAGACCCATTTGATGAAAAAACAAAATTTAAATCTCTGTTACGAAGGGTTAATGGATATATGGGTTATGTGAACTTGGTGGAGTTTTGGTATCGTATTGGGTTGTATCAGTCTTATGCAAATTGATATTTGGTTGTACATGTTTTTGTGTGATGAAACTATCAATCTCTGGTTTTGGATTTTGTGATTATTGCTTTTATTTTATGAACCCGAGTTTAACATGACTGTTGTGTCAACCATCGTGTTCTAGTGATACTGTCAAATTTCTGGGTTGTTGATTAGTGTGATTGTTTTTTATGTTCTTGGTTTTTCCAGTGGAGAAGATAGTGGCAGCGAGGAAGATGACCAGGAAATGGATGTTGATGCTGCCAAGCAGACCGGTGAAGTAAGCCAAGCATTAGTTGTAGCAAACGCACTTGGCAGAAGTTCCAAAGTTAACAAGTCAGAGACCAAATTTGATGACATAGCAGATGGTCTGCAGGAACTTGATATGGACAACTATGATGATGAGGAGGATGGTACATATGCATACAAAGAATCTATTTTTCTTTTTCCTTTTCTTTTATGTACTTTTTTTTATCTGATACATTTTGTAGAAAATAAGGGGTCATTGGTCGCCATGCTGGTTTAGTTTGGGAGGTTAGGATGGATTGTTTAAATACCGATCTCTCTTGATAAGAGCATTCTTGAATATTTGAATCATTGAGGGAATTATTAAACCAGTGAATAACAATCACTTGCATAAATACTTTTTTCAGCTCTTTTTTTTTCCCTTTAGATCCACATCATTTTCTGGTCACATGCCTTGAATTTAATTGACATTGGATGAGTAACTAAAGATGCATCTGGTCACACAGGTATTGAGCTGTTCAGCACAGGACTTGGGGACCTTTACTACCCAAGTAATAGCATGGACCCGTACATCAAGGATGAAGATGTAAGTTTGACAGCTTTGTTATGCTGTAGCTGGCTTCTCTTGGTATTTGGTTACTTATTTTTGCACTGACTCTTTTAGGATGATGATTCTGAAGATCTTGAAGACATGGCTATCAAACCAAAGGATGCAGTCATTGTTTGTGCATGCAACAAGGATGAATTTAGTAACCTTGAGGCATGCAATTGTTAGTTGGGAAGCTCTGCAGTTCTCTCTCTCTCTCCTCCTCTCCTGACACGAAGTGTCAATTGTGCATGCAGGTTTGGATATTGGATGAAACAAGTGATGGTGATTCAAACATATACGTTCACCATGAGGTTCCCCTTTCAGCATTTCCCCTTTGCACAGCATGGCTTGATTGTCCACTTAAAGGGGGAGAAAAAGGTATGATAGCTTAGACGCTCTGCTTGGAACTTGTTTTTCTTGCAGATTTCAGCTTCTCCAGTATATTCCCATTTTCTAGGCTCACCTTCATTTTTTGAGACATCTGGTTTTAATGTACCATTGAAATTAAAAAGTGGTGCATGAGGGTTGGTTTTCTCGCAGAAGTTTATGCCTTACTACCTCTTTTGAGATTTGTGTTTTTGCAGGGAATTTTATAGCTGTTGGGTCAATGGAACCTGCCATTGAAATATGGGACCTTGACATTGTATGTGGAACATCACATAAAATTACAAATACATTGACTTTTTTATGTAGAGATTGTTTTAGAATCTCTTACATTTTCTGCTGTTCTCAGATTGATGAAGTGCAACCAGCTGTGGTATTAGGTGGCATTGAAGAGAAAAAGAAGAAGAAAAAAGGAAAAAAGGTGCACTCTAGAGTTCCTTTAATGTTCTTTGCACCTTTTATTGTTTATGTGTTCAAAAGGTGGCTATGAATGAGGAGAAGGAACGAAGTTAAAACTTTGTTATTCATGGGCATCCATTTAAGGTCACATCTTTGTGTGATTGAGATCCATGAATTTTCTTCACAATTTTCTGCTCAAGCGGGCATGAATGTTGAAGCAGAGTTCATGGGTTTTTCTTCATGCTTATCTTATCCTAGGGAGATTCAGAAATAAGGTAGCTTCAGAAAAGCATTGACACCTTTGCAGTGGTGTCTATAATTGGCAGGTGTTAAGATATGCCTGCTGCATGTGTGAACCAGCCCTGGCAAAGGAAAAAATATTCCTTTTTTTCTTTTTTTCACCTTCTTTTCTTAAAAAAATATACACATCAATATGCTGGATGGCCTGCACCTTGCTAGGTCCTCCACTCACATCTTTTATCATTAGAATCCAACCTGAAACATCTTGGAACTAGCCAACTTAATGGTGGTTCTTGTACCTTGCTTTTGCATTTTGTTTCTATGATTGATGACTACAGTATCATGGATATGTGTTATGGGGTTGTTTTGATTTGCTCTGTTCCTTTATGTTACCATTCCTCCTTGAGCAGTATCATCATTTCAAAACCCAGGCATAATGTGATATGGCTTGAGAAAGTATTTTTTTTCTTGTTTTTTCTCACCAGTCCTGCAACTTCTTTTGTCAGGTGTCAATTAAATACAAAGAAGGCAGTCACACTGATTCTGTACTTGGTCTTGCTTGGAACAAGCATTTCAGGTCCGGGGAATCTCATACGATCTAGTTCTGTTCTATCTGCTAACATTGATGGATTGCTCCGATAGCTAATAAGTATTGAAATAAATACAGGAACATCCTTGCCAGTGCTAGTGCCGACAAACAAGTCAAAATTTGGGATGTGGATGCTGGAAAATGTGACATTACCATGGAGCATCATACAGACAAGGCAAGAATATAGCCTCACATTATTATTTCATATAATTTGGACAGTGAACCAAGCCAGATTCATTTTTTACTTGGGTATGTGTTCATTGGGATATTACAACTGTTCATGCAACGGTGCTGACCTATCAGCCTATCAGTGTCCTCAACCCAAGGAAGACCAGGCACATTGTATCCACATGTATGCTGCAAGACATGGTGTTGAACCATTCAAAGATCAACGTGCTAGTGATTGAATAACTTGTCAATATTCCTTTGTCATAAAGCTAAACATTTGTTAAGGAAATTCTAATAATGAAAAAGAAAACAAATGAAAGTTGAGTTACTTTTTTTTATCTAACTGTCATACAATGTGCCAGTTGCCTGTCTTCATAAAACAATTTAGTCTTCCAAGATTTGTTGGAATTATAAGAGCAGGGTTTTTGGAATATTTTCAGCTCTAAGTCATAGCAGTTGTTTGTGCTAGCCAATGCAAGGAACACCCTTTACTATGCTGTGTCTTATGGTTCTATTTAAATTTACTGGATGCAAAAATTATGGGTACCTGTGTTATTAGCTTATTGATATGGGTTACATTCTTCTTTTCATACAAATGCTGACAGGTTCAAGCAGTTGCATGGAATCATCATGAGCCACAAGTTCTTCTCAGTGGATCTTTCGATCGTACAGTAGTCATGGTAAAACGGAGCTTGCTTACTCTGATGTCTATAGATTTGGACTGTCACTATACCTCACAGTGCAACAAGTCTGGATCAGCTTCTGACCTTAAGCCAAGTTTTACCCTCCATGCACACGACAAAGCTGTTTGCACAATCTCTTATAATCCTTTAGCACCAAATGTACTATCTTCATTTTCATATTTTAATCCTCAGTTCTAGTTAGATGTTTAGATCATCAACTTCACTAACTTTCCTTACCATGTTTGACAGCTTCTTGCTACTGGATCAACAGATAAAATGGTAAAGTCATTACTCTTTTCTTTCTGTTTTTGGTCCTCCAAAGTAGAAGTTATCGATGGTTCATTTAATTCCATTTTCTGCTGAATATTTCTACAGGTAAAACTCTGGGATCTGTCCAACAACCAACCCTCATGTTTAGTATCCAAGAATCCCAAAGCAGTACGTGACCATAACTTTCCTCAGATCTCACGCAATAAAAAAAGTTTAAACATGTTTTTAGATGTTATCATGAGTAATCACACTGTTCTGAATGTTTTCAGGGAGCTATCTTTTCTGTTTCCTTCTCAGAGGACAACCCTTTTCTGCTCGCCATTGGAGGCTCCAAGGGGAAATTGGAAGTGAGTTTAAAAACCCTATTTTATATTTATTGGAGCGCATATCTACGAGGAAGTTTGTATAATTTGATCCTAATCTATGTCACTGAAATCTCGCAGCTATGGGATACGTTGTCTGAGGCCGAGGTTGCTAGAAGATTTGGAACCACAGCAAGCTGAAATCACCGCTGGCTTCATTGATCAAGAAGGTAAAAGAGCTATGCTCCTCGTAAAATTCGAGAGCTACAGAAAAAGCCACATGGGCCTTGTTATGAGCTAAGATTGATTTGGTAGGTGAAAGACATCGGTCCTCACATGGCAAGCATGTGTATTTAAGTAGACTGTAGCGAGAGCTGGTGTATTTATACGAGAATGAGTGGCAGTAGTGGTAGTCTCATAGCTTTTCCAATTTTGTGAGATGGCAGATGAGGTTTGGTTTCTTGTTTATTTATTTATTTTGCTTTTTTGGCATTATGATATGTAATTGTAATGAAGACCAACGTTAATTCATGCGTGAGTGAGAATCTTAAGAAATGAAAGCAAAACAAAAGCTAGATTCGACAGAGGACCACAGCTTTTAAAAGATGGCAAACATTTTTATAGAACGTATCGAAACTCCCTCCTAAACAGTAGCATCTTCCTGCACTGTTTCCGCAGAACTTAAAAGACTACAATTGCTTGGACCCTGGTGTCTAGAGAGGAAGATTCTTGTCCATTTCGTGTTCTTGTAATTCGAGTGTGAATGAATTGACCATAAGATGTCAACATTGCTTTACCTTATGTTTAATTGTCTTTTTCCTTGGTGTCTTTTCTCCCTTCTTTTCCTAGCATGTTCCATGAGGTTTCTCGGAACATAGCACAACATATGATTCCCTATAAAATATATTTTCAGTCTCGCCCAAACCCGTTCTCTCGACTTATAAGTTACAGTAAGTTACAGTAGAAAACAACAAGCCAAGAAAAAGAATCACCCATCTTATGACACGTATTCAAACCAATATGTTCTTGCTCCATTAATTATCCTGGACAGTTCCTCTCAATAATAGTTAGTCTTTATTTGGCTATAAGTTCCCTTGCTTTTCTTTTCATCGAAGTGATCGGTCTTCTATAGTTCTTTGCTTGCTCTTCACAATCCAAAATGGCGTCTCTCTTGAAGGAATTGCCCTCAATGGCTACAATTCTCTCTGTGTACGCATCCCTATCCGGTTTATCCATGCTTATCCGCACCATCTTGAATGAAATGATTCCAGGGGGTATGCGTGACTACATAGCTACGAAGTTCTCAGATTTCTTTGCTGCCTACTTCTCCTCAGAGTTCACCTTCATCATTGAAGACCGATGGCAAGCTGTGGATAATGAAACCTTTCGAGCTGTTGAGGTCTATCTTCCAACCAAAATCGGCCATTCCACCGAAAGCCTTGTTTTAGGTACCAGTGACACGAACAACATCACTGCCCCACCTAAACCAGGGATTCCCGTTGATGCTAAAGTAATTGATGTTTTTCAAGGTATGCATTTTGAATGGAAACTCTGTGAGAAAGAAGCGAAAAAGTACTCCTATCGCCAGAAAAGATACTTCCAGTTGAATTGCAAAAAGAACTACAGAGAACATGTGATGCAAAGCTACTTGCCACACATTAGCAAGACTGCAGCTTCAATCTTGGACAAGAGGGAGACTCTCAACATCTATACTTGTCATAACGAAGATTCTATGTGGGAATCTACAGTGTTTAAGCATCCAGCTACTTTTGAGACTGTAGCAATGGACCCTGACCTGAAGAAGTTCATAACTGAAGATCTTGACTTGTTTGTGCAAAGAAAGGAATACTTTCGGAGTGTTGGTAGAGCTTGGAAAAGAGGGTACCTTCTTCATGGTCCACCAGGGACTGGAAAATCCACTCTCGTTGCTGCCATTGCAAACTATCTAAGATTCAACATCTATGATCTCCAGCTCCAAGGTGTAAGAAATGACTCTCAACTCAGGAGGATACTCACCTCCACAACCAATCGCTCAATTCTTCTTATTGAGGACATTGATTGCAGTACAAAAAATTCACGTTCCCGCAATCAAACAAGGAATCCAAAGGAAGATGGCGAGGAAGATGACGACGACGATGATGATCAACGTGATAAGAAGATTTCTTTTGATCCTGGGGTAAGTGAGTTTTGAAAGAATTTATCTCCCAAGTTTATCTTATTAGGAATTAACTTATTTATAACCCTTCACAGCTTTACTAATTAGACATCACAGATAACTTTATGCCAGAAATGATTAATCAGATTAGATCAAATTAACTAGAATATATCTGGAAAAAAGATTTATTAATCACATTGATGCCATATTGCCTCCGAGTTTTCCATTTTTCCATATCGACTAAATCATATTTTTCTTTAAATCTTCTCATAGGTGACCTTATCTGGTTTACTGAACTTCATTGATGGACTATGGTCAAGCTGTGGGGATGAAAGAATAATCATTTTCACCACTAATTACAAAGAGAAGTTGGACCCAGCATTGTTGCGCCCAGGACGAATGGATGTTCATATTTACATGGGACATTGTACTCCCGCAGCATTCAAGAAGCTTGCCTCTACATATCTTGGGATTAAAGAGCATGTCCTTTTCAAATGCATTGAAGATCTCATTCAGAGTAAAGTTATTACCCCAGCAGAAGTTGCACAGCAACTTATGAAATGTGACAATCCCCAGGTTGCACTTCAAAGTCTAATTGAGTTTATAAATCAGAAGGAGACTACTGAAATGATGGATAATGGGGCTAAAAAGGAGGATCAAGAAGAGGTCATAAAAGAAGAGGTTGTGAAGTGTAGAATTGAAAGCATGAAACAGGATGTGAAACAATCCAAGATTCTAACGACATCCATTTACCTGACCTAGCAAGATGGTTTGTTTGCTTCCATCAAGTAATGTCTTAGTCCCTACTTATTGGATTTTCCTTTTGTGAGATAGCTCTTGTTGCATTGTGAAACGTGTTCAATGATCAAAGGGTTTTTAACATGGTAATGAAACTCAACCGTTATATAATCTAGTTCATGATCTGGTTAGTGGTTTGACTAAGTTTAATAACTACTGTTTTTAATGTTCAATTTAATAAAATAATTTTGTTGATTAATGTAGTAGCATTTTCTCTGTAAATTTTAATTTATCCCTCTGAAGTTTGAATATTTTCTCAATTTTCCTTCTTTATTTTTTATATATATAATTTCCACCTAAACTTTGTTTAAGATTTTTTTTTTAATTAACGTGGATATTCAAGTTAGTTTAGATATATCTTGACTAATTTCAGAGGTCATGAAGTTAACGATAATATAAACTTTTTATGACTATTATATTAGCAATTATAAGACTCAAACTTGAGATCAAACTTGAAATCATATGAGAAACAAATCCCTTGGTTTTAAACTCTTATCATTAGGTTATCTATTATATAGTTTTGAGATTTTTATTTGATGGATTATGTTGATGATTTCATATTGTTTATATTACAATTTTAATTTTTTTGGAAAAATCAATCAAGCACCCATTCCTCAAACATACTAACAATCTTGTTTTTTGAATTAAGTTTATACTTTGTTTCCTTTTTCCTTTCAATCTATCTCCTTTTATTAAGCTAACAAAATAAAATTGATGATGTGACCTTTTTTATATTCTTAATTGACCCTTAAGGTTTTTTAAAATATGTTAATCGATAAACATTTCTTCCTAAAAACATATCAATAATCTTGCCCTTTCACTTATAATTGTGCTCTGTATTTTTGTAATATTAGATTTTTCAAAATTAATAAACTTTGAATGTTAGAAAAGTATCAATAAAATAAAATTATATAAGATTTCATTTTGAGACTAATTAGAGTACTCCAAGGTGCTATATTGAATTTTAATAAGATTTATAATCAATTCATATATGACATGAAGATTAATAGAAATACTCAACACTCCATCTTTGTTATCTATTCCATACATCACACTAGATAGATATTATATTCATAGACAATTCACCTTAAAGATACCTTGATGGCTAAAAATATGGAGGTTCAATTCCTCTCCAATTTTTTTTTTTTATGGTTAAAGAATTTATTTCTAGCTGTTTTGGGACAATTAGAAGATTTGTTAAAAGAAATAAAGGGTTTTGCATTGATTACGAAAATTTTTCCTGCTATAGTCTTTTATAGGAGTCTGGGCAGGAATTCTTTTATCTTGTCGGAGGAATATCATCACATAATTCTCTATGAATGTTTGTTTATTTTTTTAGCATAATATAATTTTTAATTATTCATCTTGAATCCTTTTATGAATGATTTGAAATAAAAAAAGAAATAGATATGGCCATAGTATATTATGAATTTAGTTGGTATCATCTTTTAATATTATCACTCTCATAAGAAAAAATAAATAGAAAAATGCTTTGGTTGTGCAAAACATAAAGTTTAATATAACAAAATTAATAAACTATATTTATGGCCAAATCATAATTGAAATTATTTTAGTTAAAGTTTAAGGGTATAATTAAAGCCTTCACACTAATAGTTAATAGTTATTGATCATAATAAATTTGTAAAAAATGATCTCTTATTTGATGATTAAGCTAATATTTGAATTATGTGTGGTCAAAATAAATATTTATGGTGATTTTTCTAGATTTTGGTGAGAGAAGTTTTATGAAATTTAATATGATGAATTGGTAAGTGTTTGATTGAGACTTTTTTAAAATCTCAAGAGATCAATTTAGATATAAATCATGTTGAGTCATTAATTTTGTTAGTTTGAGGAAAATAGATAGAAAGAAGGATTCCAACCTTGAAGAAAGTCATATAAACATATTTCATTAGAAAAAAAAACATAAAAAATAATGAAATAATTCTAAACTAGGACTAAAAAAACATAAATTAACTAGGAAAATATAACCACTCTTTAACATTAACTTTCGGATCTAATTTGAATGTTTTATCGACATAATTTCAAGTAGCTATAATAAAATTTCATGGTAAATTTTTAATATGATCTAACAATTAGATTAGAAATTATATTTAAAAACTGCATTCGACCAGAATCTCCTGCATCAATTTCTTGAGAAGAGGCCAAGTAATTGTCTCCCAACGTTTATCTCTTTCCTTTTTCTGTCTTTCTGGTTTTCTTGTAGGCAAATTATCTCTTTGAAATCCATTAGTTAGATTTCATGAATAATCGGGTCTGCAATAGTGTTGTTATTTTCCTTTCAAGCATTGGACTGCCCAACTTGCTTATATAACAAGTACTGTTCTTAATTGATAGCTTGGTAAAATCCCTAGTTCTCGTCCCAAGGATTTAAAATCAAATCTTGTTGTCTCCCAATAAGGGAGAGGATTAGGAATGCGAAGGCTATAATCTAGTTGTATTAGTGTTTAACCTCTAAATAAGAACCGAAAATATGAATAACTTGATAACCATCACTACTTCTGTAGTTTTTATACATCCATCATCCGAATTTTGAATCATTTACATCTCTTTTTTCAAAAAAAATAAAATCCCTGAAACACCGTAGGTAACACCATGGGGCTTGTTGAACTGCATCGATGACATGCTGTCAAGCTTTGGAGAAGAAAGAATCATCATATCTTCACAACCAACTACAGAGAGAGACTAGACCCAGCATTGCTTGCATTGACATATCTAGGAATTGAAGACCATGCATTATTCAAGTGCATTGAAGATCTAATTCAGAGGATATCAGTTACCCCAGCAGAAGTATCACAGCAACTTAAGAAATGTAACAAAACGCAAGGTGCTATAGAAAGTCTCATCGAGTTTCTGAATATGGAGGAAGAATCAGCAGAGGAGGATAATGACAAGGAAGATGAAATGATTTTCTTCTTGAATCAAGCAGGACCATTTCCTGCCTGCCATTTTAAATACAGATTGCATTCTAATTTTCCAGTTGAATTCGCTTGAATTCCTAACTCCTAGCTTCCAAAAATGAGATCATATTACCTTGGCATGGACGAAAAGGATAAACCCTGAAGGAAAGTGCATGATGGCGGAAATTCAACTTTAGCAGATGCTATGGTTTCAATTAACTCTTTTATTAGATGCGCCAACATGAAAACTTCATCTGCTTGATTTTTTGTCACCCAATCTTCCAACACCCTGCACAAATCTCAATCTTTAACTACAACTTGAAGAAAAGGAACAGATGTTTTCTAAGTGAATCATTAACAGAAAAGAAAGTGCGACATGATTCGCGCCTTCCTCAGTCTTTTAAGGCAATATTTTCACTGCCATGGTATGGACCTCTACCAGACTGGCTACCAAAATTATTAAAAATTTTGTCAAGTCAACTTTTTTTTTCTTCTTATTTGTGTGTGCGTGCACTTAGGGGGTGTATAATCCAACACATATTCAAGACTCTACCAGGAGTCTTATCGAGATTTGGTTGTT